GAGAGAGAGAGAGGGAGAGAGTTCTCCCGGTAAAAAGGAATGAAATAGAAAAGGTTTGTTACTACCAGATGCATTTCTTTTTTTTTTTTTTTTAATATTTAATTAACTTCCTGTTTGAAATAGACCCGACATAAGCATTTTTAAATTAATCGAAAAATTTCACTCCTTCATTTGTGACATTCGTTTGTGGCATTCCTATTGCTAAACTTTAAGGCTAAAACTTTGATCTTACCGTAAATCTGATATTAGCCATATCGTATCGTAAATATGGTATCCATAGACTATTTAAACATATCATAGACATTAACGATCATAAAAAATGATAGTAATTAAAAAATGAAGCTTGTTTTTAGCAGAATTTATCTTTCAGTAGATTTCAAATTTTTCACCTAATAATATACCTGAAATACTTTTTTCAAAAATAATATAGTCCTAAAATTTCCTCAAAATTGCATATATAATTAAGCTTCTGTATTCCTTCTTTTTTGAAATATTTCATACACAGCATTCAAATTTATTGGAATTCTTTTCAAATAATTAATTAATTGATTGACTGCTACAATCCTTCATTTTCATTTTTCATTTTGAAATACAGTATTTTTCATTTTCAAGTACAGTATTTTTCATTTTCGAGTACAGTATCCATCGAGAATTTGTCAAGAAATGAGCAAATTTTTTTTTCGTTCTTTTTTAGCAGCATTTTGCTATTTATACTGCATTAATATGATACAATTGAACAAGAGAGATTTTTGCCCAATACTCCCGAGATTAGCAATCTATGGAACAAGACAGGATTGATAGTTGTGACAAAAGCATTAGCTATTACCTTTGTCATCCCTCGTGTATGCTTCAATGAAAGGATGAAGAGAGTAAGTAAGCATGCTTCTTAAAAGCAGGTGCGTAAATAGCTCTCATGAGTGTCATCTCATCAACTAAGCTTGAGATATCGTTATCATCGTCAGCGTTGTCGTAGTTGTTGTTTGTTATTTGCATCTTGTCATTGTCATAGGTGTCGTCGTCATTAATCATCCTCGATTTTTTAATTAATTACTCCAGAAGGCGGAGCAAATAAATGCGATATAATTGTATTACTATCGTTTAATGCTTCAACTTTTCCGGAATAATTCATTTGCGTTATTCCTTTTCTTTTTTTCTTTTTCCGATTTGAAATAATTCCGGAAACGATTCATTTGCTAACTTATCTTTACATTTCCATCATTAAAATTTCCCAAATACCCTCTTTTCCTTTTTTTTTTCTTTTTTTTTTTTTAATTCCTCAAAATGCAATAGTAGGTGGGAAGAGAAGAATTGAAGAAGAAGAGGAAATATTATTGTGTTATGTTGGAGATGTTGTGAATGTTGAAATGTGGGAGAGATCAGGAGAAGTATTATTTTTTTTTTATCCCGAAAGAGCTGTTAGTGATAATGATAATATGATTTCCGGATGATTTATAATTGTATCACTGTTGCTCAATACTTCAATTTTTCCGGAATAACACATCTGCGCTATTCCTTCTCTTTTTTTTCCGATTTAAAGCATTTCCGGAAAAGAATTAATTGTACATTTCGCAAACAGCCTCCTTTTTTTTCCATTTTTAACTTTCACATTTTCTTTTCCCTTTTTCTTTCTTTCCCGTTATGATTTCTCCTCCTCAATTAACAAAGCAAAAAAAAAAAGAAGTTAGACTTTTTTAAATAATTATTTTAAATTCCCAAATAACTTAAGGAATATTTTCCGATAAACCGATCGTTTGTTTTCTTTCTCAATTATTAAATTGAAATGTCAAAAAAAAAAAAAAAAAAAACGAAACGAACAAAAGAAT